TGGGCTGTACCGGGGGCCACGGTGGGACTCGGCTGTGCCAGGGGGTGCCCCAGGACCCCCACACTGCGCTGTGCCAGGTCCCTGAGCCAGCTTCTACCCTGGGACTCCCAGTCCAGGCTGTACCAAGTGCCAGCCCAGGCTGTGTCAGGTCCCTGTGCCAGAGGCTGCCCTGAGACCCCCATCTCAGCCACGAGGTGCCCCAGAAGTGTCGGCCCAGGCTGCTCCAGGGGTCACTGAGACCCCCAGCCTGGGCTGTGCCCGATACCTGCACACCAGGTACCACCAGCTCTGGGTGGGCACAGCTCTGGTGCCTCGCCACACACTGCAGTGCCAGAGGACGCCGTGTGGACCCTCCCCACCACTCCTGCCCGGGGGTCCCACAACCCCCCCTGCTCTGCAGCACAGCTCCCTGTGCTTTCACCCCCAGAACCCCCAGCTCTGGGCTCAGTGTCCCCTCACCGTCCCCCACAGATCGCAGAGGTCCCCAAGCCTGAGTTCATGGCACGGACGTTGGAGGAGCTGCAGATCGGCACCTACAGCAACATCGCCGTGGTTGGCACCAGCACCCCCATCTACGTGGCCCTGGGCATCTTCGTGCAGCACCGCGTGTCCGCGCTGCCCGTGGTCGATGACTCGGGTAAGGATGTCCTGTCCTCGCTTTGGCTGTCCCCAGGTCACCTCCCTGGGGGCTGTGTCCCCTCTGGAGCGCCAGGGGCTTGGCTGAGCTGCTCCCCTCCCTCCCCAGGGCGGGTGGTGGACATCTATTCCAAATTCGACGTTATTGTGAGTACTGGTGGAGGAAATTCCTGGGCTGGGGGGATGCTGTGGGGTGGTGGGGGTCTCCTGATCCCAGCTGTGTCCCCAATGCTTGTCCCTGCCCCAGAACCTGGCAGCTGAGAAGACCTACAACAACCTGGATGTGACGGTGACGCGGGCGCTACAGCACCGCTCCCACTACTTCGAGGGTGTCCTCAAGTGTTACAAGCACGAGACGCTGGAAACCATCATCAACCGCCTGGTCGAGGCTGAGGTAACTGTCCCAGGGTGCTGGGGGGTCAGGGGGGGCTGGGGTCCCCACACCCCCTCAGCCTCTCCTTGTGTCCCCCTCCCCAGGTCCACCGGCTGGTGGTGGTGGATGAGAGCGATGTGGTTAAAGGGATCATCTCCCTCTCGGACATCCTGCAAGCCCTGGTCCTCCCGCAGGGCCCCTGAGGCAGTGAGGGGGGGGTCGGTCCTCCCAAGCCCCCCACTCTCTTCTCCTGCAACACTGTGCCCCCCTGGGCTGGTGGGGACACCCGGGGAATGCCCCCACTCACCAGCAGCCTCCAGCAATAACCCCCAGCCCTGGGGCAGTCCCTGCTGCCCTTCCCTGCGTGGGGGGAGCCTACAGCCCCCCCATGCCATGTCCTGCGCCCCAAAGCCGTGTGGGGTGATGGGGGCAGCCCTCGACCCCCCTGGGGTGCCGGGCCAGGGTCACCCATATCCATGCCAGGGCTGTTCGGGTGTGGACTCTCGTCCCTGTCACCCTGCACCCTCTCCCTGGGTTTGGTGAAACCCACTCAGCTCCACCCGGCCCGGGGACCCCCCCACGCCCCCGGGGACCCCCCCAAGCTCCCTGGCTGTGCCCACACCCGCCACCGCTTCGTGAGTGAAGAGAAACCACAAATAAACACAGACCTGGCACCACCCTGGCTCAGTGCAGGGCACGGGGGGCACAGGGTGGTGCCAGGTCTGTG